GATTAAGCATCTGATGTAGCCATACGAAGTGACATGCGTACATGAATCTTGGGCATAATAGTGAATAAACTGACATTACATTCACGGTAATTTGTTTCAATATGTAAAACATGTTGTTGCCTACATTTGAAAGGAATTGTAGGAATGTTGCAATGAAATCTAAGGAAAAATGTGTAGTTGAATAGCATTCTCTATTGTATAGATCTGACAGCTTCGTGAGGCTTCTTTGTATATTTATGATATTATCTGCAGCCTACATGCTTGTTTTCAGCTGCACACGAAGCAGCCTGGAAATAAGAGTAAGCCTTTCAGACATTGGCTTAATCTACCCTAATGGTCTATAAAATTTAAAAAAAAAAAAAAAAAAAAAAAAATCCCTAAAACCCCAACACCTAACAAAACCAACTTTATTTTTAAAAAAGAATCATAAAAGTGTTGAGTGATGTAGTATTTCAGTATTGTGAATGTGGGAGTATTCTGTCGGACTGAGGCTTGTTAGGATAGGCAGCATCAGTAGGCTGACTTGTCACCAAAGCAATACCAACTTCTTCCACTTTATTTTCTCTGGCCTAAATTAGGCACTTATTTGTACAAGCAAAACTGTCACAAGTCTGACAGGGTCTCTTCCTTCCCCCTTGCTGCTGGGGGAGACCCAGGAAGGTGTTTGAGCACTCCACAGTATGTTAATGGCTTTTTAACCTGTGAGACAGGAGCGCGTTCTGTGTTTTACAGCTGGGAAACTAATGTGCAGGGTACGCCAGGTATCACAGACCTCAGTGTGACCGCAGGGGACGGAGCTGGCGGTTGAACCTGGGTGCTTTTGCTCCAATTCACTAGGTGCTCTTACCACCTTCTGGCAACATCTCTGCTGCACACAGCTGTGATTTTCTTTTTTAGTGTTTGGAGATGTCACTGATAACTGTCTTGTGACTTTGCTTCCTTCTGATGGTGGTATTTTTATAATGTGCAGCAGAGCTGCGGTGACTTTTTTTTTCCTTTTGCTCTCTTGGGATCTAGGCTCTGGGACTGGGGTGTGTTTATGCCACAGTAAAAATTGAAATGAGAACTCTCGGCTTGACTTTTAACATTTGACTGAACACTTTGCTCCCTTAAAGTGCACACCCCACCCCCCCAAGAGTTTAAAAATCTGAATGTGATTGGTGTGAAGTCATTAATTTGAGATGGGAGTGTGTTCCTCCAGGAACAGCTCCCTGAGCCTGACCTGAACTTGGGAAGGAAGGTGTGTGCTGACCCCTCTGAGCTTTGTATCGCAGCCTGTAGACTAGCTCTGAGCACCTTTGATATCCTTGTCGGTACCTGTTATCTACACTTGTAGATCACATGCTCCAGATACCTTGGGGACTGGAAATAAGGTGGTGATGGTAGCTCCGGTAAAGCAAGAGCCTTGTCGGGAGCTGGGGCTCTGTATCAACTTCACTCCTGCCTTTTTTAGAGTTGGTGTTTAATTCTCAGTACAGCCACTGGAGAGAGCTCTAGAGATCTTAAAACAGGTTTTGGGAGCAACCGCTCAACAAAACTAGCTGCATAACAGGCATCGGACTGTGGCAGGAGCTCCACGATGTCTTCTGCTGCCAAGATCAGTGAGAGTAACTGATCTCTGTCAGGTATACATTAATGGCTCTAAGGATCTAGAAAGGGCGACAGCGTGTTGCTGTGGCAAAGTTGCTGATTTGACTTGACACTGAGGATGGGCCAGGAGCAGGACGGCTGCTGTCGTGGGCTCACGGGCCTGGTGTGAAGCCAGCTGGTTGTCTCAGTACTGTGAAGGGTGGTCTCCAGTGGTGCAGAGCCACCTTGCCGCAGTACCTTACCTGGCTTATGAACAGGGTCTGTCAGCTGTTGACACCCAGGTTGACTGGTAGCATCTCTGCTGGCAGTTCCCTTCCGGGCTGCACGTTGCTGTGTCATTTCCCTTTCAGAAAGAAAGTGGGGTGCTGGGGGTTTGGTGAAAGACAGGAACTTCAGGATATGGCTGATGCCTTCCAGCCTCTCCTGTGGAGGAGAGGAGTGTTCCCAATTAAAAAAAAAAAAAAATTTAAAAAGAGATAAAATGAAAAATGAAAAAAAGGAAGTTGCTAGTTAAAGCACTAATACTTAGATGTTGCAGAAGGGGGGGTGCAGGCTGGTTGCACTACCCTTTACTAGAGTTGATTCTACAGGGATGTATTTTATATTAATTTACCTTTTGTGTTTGTCTGTGGCCTGGCTGAAAAGCATCACTTTTCCCCTCAGAAGAGGCGTACAAATCTGTCCTAGGGTAGGTGGAAGACTTTTGCAGTGACAAATCTTCCAAAATAGCAAGATGCAAGCAGTTACTGCCCAGCTGGGAGGAAGGTAATAGAGATGCCTGGGAGCAAGGAGTGGGCTGGTGTTGTTCTAACCGGAGTAGTAAGGTCTCAAAAGGAACGTGGGGGAGCGTCTGTGCAGGACAGGGTCTATGAGATGTAAAGGAGAAGACTGCTAGCTGTTGCCTAGGGCCAGACAAGGTCGACCTGCTGCCCAACAGGAACTTGCTCAGGAGGAGGCTCTCAGAACTGAGCAGCAGAGGACCCTCCTCTGAGTGTCCCTTGTGTCACCTGCAAAGCTCAAGAGTTGGGCAGTTCTTAAGTAAGGTCTGGGACATTAACAAAGGCACCTGTGATGGTTCATTCTGATGCGCAGATGGCATCTTAACTTCCAAGTGTTTTCACTTTTGGTTCTCTGAACATTTTATTACAAGAAGACGGGCAGTACATCACCCTCCACTGCTTGGTCCTAAGTCCAAAATAAAACCATGCAAGACCAGTGTTTCAATGCAGCTGTAGGGGACAGTAGCTAAAGGGGGTTAGTGCTCATTCCCGTATAAATGTAGTTCAGAGTGAGTTCCCCAACGCAGTCCCAGTCTGGACTGGAATGACCTAGGCTGTCTGTTGGCTGATTTAATTTTAAACCATCATGCACTTTGAGAGAAGGACCTTTTCTTTTAAGGTGGATGTGGTAGCAGCCGGTCCCTGAAATGCTGTTCTCAGTAGCTCTGATAAGCCGGTGTGATGCTACATGAAACTTAAAAGTATGAACTGACCGTCTTAGCAAACAGGAGACCAGGATAAGCTTTGGCTTTGGATGTGATACTGCAACACAAGGTCGCTTTACGTCCGTGCACTGGGCATGATGGGTAAGAATTCAAGAATAAATAAATCCATAACTTTCTCTCAAATGCAGGCAGCTTGGGGCTTCTGCCCTGTTGTAGCATCCTGCAGCTCCAACAGCTTCTCAAGCAGGCTCGGGGATTTGTGCTGTCTGCCTCCCCTTTGTAAGGGAGGGTACAGGCTTCAGGTGGCTTTGTTTGGTGTCTTTTTAAAGGTAAGACTTGTAGTCTAATGAGTATTTAGAGAGAAAATACTTTCACCTCCATAAAGTTCTTTTGAATTATAAAGGACGTTGCTGCTGGGTTACTGAAAACCCTTGGGGTTTGTTTCATTTCTAACATTGCCTCAGGCCTTCTGCTGCATCCTGTTGGATTGACCTCCTTTTCAACCCGTGCTGGCAGCTGCATTGCAGAGCTGTCTTTTCCCTGGATCCTTCGGGGTTGTCATATGACAAACTTGAACTGTGACCCTTTTGTGTCTTACCAGGACAGTGGTGCCCCTCTCTGTGCGATGTGGCCAGCAGTCTTCCCCACGCACGCATTTGTTCCAAGCCATTTAACAAACTGAAAGTTTCAAATGATGGCATTTCATAGTGTTTAATAGTATCGACTGTAAAGCAAATGAAATGGTGCTGAATACCCTGCATGCTGCTAGTAAGAAATACAGCTTCCATTTCTGCAGTATGCCCTGGGTTTTCTGTGGTTAGTGTGTGCTCTCTGGTGAATCTCTTTATTTTTTTAATAAATTTCAATGCTTCCCCACTAACAGCAGTAGCATTCGCTGCTATGGATAGCCCAGCACTGGTATTTGTTTCTAATATATAGGGTTTTTAACCAGGTTTCTCTAAGCAAAGTGGGCAAAGTAATTTTGCTGAAGTCTTGCAGAGAGTGTTAGGGTAAGAATTGATATAGTTAACACGGCATCCAAGCAACACCGTCTCCAAGTGGTGTTGATGCTGGCAGGCATTGCCTTGCTGAAGTTACAGAGACTGAGCACTCGTATTTGTACAAATTGCATTCATTACCAAGAACCCTCCAGTAGTGATAAGAGACTGGCTGTGTAGCATAGATTGGCTCCAAGATAAGTAGCCAGTCTATTGTGCAGCTCATGGTAATCTTCCTCCTCCCCGCCCCTAATAATAAATCTTGGGGCATTTTGGAATGCGTGGGGGTTGCTCATTCCAGTAGCCTGAATGTATAACTACTAAACATCATCATCTCCTACCAGTTGTGCTTTCATAACCCAGCGAGGCAGCCGACTGAGATGAATAGGCTCGGGTAGTGTTCTGAACATGCTTTTGCTTTGACATTATGTATTTGTTGCTCCCTTGGAGGACAATTCACAGGTGATGGCCGGGGTAAGAGTTTCTCCTGGCCGTGTTTCAAGGCTAGAGCCCACTCAGTGATGGCTTTCTTCAAGAAGAGATGTGAACCTCTGGAGCCTGGGGGTTTGCAAGTGGAAGTATGAGCCTTGCACAACCCGGGGCTCTGCATTAGGAGCTGTGGTAGTACCTTCTTCGTAGTTAGCTTGTCCTTTCTCAGTGCGAGTGTCTATGCAGTACCACTCCAGTGAAACAGCAGTTATTTATCTTACTGTAATAATATAGTTTTAAAGAAAGATAGAATTTTCTGGTTGCTTTGACTGAAATAAACCGTAAACTGGCAAGTGCTTCCTTTGTCTTTTTAAGTATCTAATGTGCAAGGACTTCTGGATTTCTAGTTTTCAACATGTAAAGCTGGACATCAGCAGGCTAGTTTTATGCAAGTAGGCAGTATAATCCAACCAGTTTGGTTTAAAACTTGTATTTACATGGAATTCTAATGTTTTTTTCTCTCTCCCTCCCCCATTTAGGGTTTGAACGGCAGTGGACTTGCTCCTGGATCATCAGGTTTTAGCCTTACGAAACAGCTGCTCTGTCCAAGAATAACCCGTGTCTGTCTCAGGGACTTGATATTCTGCATGGAACAAGAGAGGGAGATGAAGCATTCTCTGACCTTGTACCGTGCTCTTCTGAAGTGATTTGAATTTTACATTTCAACTTGCTGTCTACTGCCAAAGAAAACACTGAAGCATCGTTGCACTGTCTTGAAATTCCAATTTCTGGAAAATGATCCGTTGTAAGGATAACTCTTGTTTACAGATAAACATTTTTATTAAATACCTAACTTAGCACCTGTAGGGTTTTTAATAATATATGGCTTAAACCAGTCTGTAAACCAGTGAAAACACTGAGCTGCATACACAAGCACCTGACTACCTGCTTGCATATAACTGTCTTGCAGGCTCTGAAGGTTTGGTACGTGTCCCTAGTTTATGTATGCCACTTGCTTCAGTACTCCAGAGTCTGCAACATCTGTTCTACATGTAGTGCCTTCTTCTAATCCAACCTTATTTAGGGAAACAAATAACACTTTAAAGGCACTGCATGGCATGGCAACTGCATTTAATCACGAACCAGCAGTCAGTCAACATGCTAGTGTATCGCCTGTCTGACTCAGCATCTCCTTAAATTTTCTGGGTTTAGAGTTACTACTGGCTGCTTGTTTGTGGAGGGCAAAGCAGCAAGCAAAAGGAATAAGGGGTGCTGTCTCCCCCCCCACACCTCGCCTCAACTGCCCTCCCCCTTTCCTCTGAGAAAGTGACGGAGGGAAGGTGAACAAATTGGTCGTTCTTGTGATTGAAGTACATGAGATAGTGTAGTTAGGGTATACTTTGATGTTTGGGCAAAATTTGGAGTTACTAAAGTTGAATACACGGAGTGAAAGAGCCTAAAAAGGAAGGGTAAACAGAAGAAACAGTTTATCTTTCTGTAGATATGAAAATAGCATTGAACTTGAACATAGATGTAGAAAGAAATGAACAAAAGTAACCTGTGCTGACTACAAAAAGGGAAAACTTGAGATGCATTGAAACTTTGCAGCTGGAGACTCTCTTAGGAGAAGAGCAATGTTTGCAAAGCACAGGATTCACTGCTTTATTTAGAATATTGATTTAATACCTTAATGTGGTAAAACGGGGAAACTTCCAAAATAGAAAGTATTTAGACAGTTGCCTGGTTTCCATTCAGTGAGGAGGAGGACTCCAGATTAAGACTGCTAAAATAGATTCAAAGATTTTTCTGCTTGCTGGTAAGGACTGCCTTATGGTGGAAGGAAAAACCTCTGGGTCATTCTTCTCCCCAGCCTCCAAACATTTTGCCTCCCATGACATGGTGCTGGATAGCGTGGCTGTTTCCCAGGGCCAGTGGGAAAGGAGCTGACTGCAAAACTTGAAGCGATGATTCAAATGCCCTCCACCGTCAAAACCACTGCAGATAGTTACCAAATTCAATAAGTTGTGAACCGGTTGTTTTTTGGTTTTTTTTGTTGGAAGAGTAGTAAACAAATCTAGTAAACGAATGCTGTAAATTATTTATATATGTATATATAGCATATATATATATAAAAGAAAAGCAGTACTTTGACTAAGCTATAGTTTGCAAGATATTGATGGCATCAGGCAAAATTGTTTTGTATAATTAAATGCTTAGCTTTACTTTTTATGTAAAGTGCAGCATTTTCCATATTTGTGTACTGTATCTTATTGATCAGATGTTTAAAATTATTTTAAATACTGCATTAAAGCAATTATTTTATTTAAAATAATAAATTGGTAACTTTGTTTCCTGACGTGAGAAATTCAGCATCTGAAGCTGTCGTCACCATGACTAATGGCGTGGCTCTGAGAGCGAGCCCTGACTATCTGCCCATCACAGTAATTGGCGCCGTTGCCCCACGTGATGTATTAACAATAAACATCTATGTTTTAAGGTTTTTAAACAGAACCAGATGGCAGAGCAAAGAATTACTTGAAGGGGACAAGTATAGAGGCAACCTCTCATTTGTCTGGCTTCCCCCTGTCAGTCAGCATGGCGGCTGTTGTTCTGGGTTTTTTTAACAGTTGGACAGAGGTGAGCACTTTGCACGTGTTCGGGGAAGTAAAAACACAGGAACAGTCTCAGGCTTCAGCAATGTGCAGTGGAAGCATTGTGCTAAATTATTTTTATTGCTCTCCAACCTCCACTTAATTAACTGTGAGTTGCTAAGATGAGCATCTGCATATTGGCCTGCCTCTTTGTTGTCTTTAAACCAATGCGATACTTAAAATGAAAGATGTTGGAGAAAATAACTGACTTTGTATATATCTATTTATCAATTATGACAGATGATTCAAGTGTTTTTATGGCCTGCCTACGATGCAGATTGCGTACATTCATTGCTGCCACAGCAAGTTGTTTCTCTCACCAGTGGTTTTTCCCCACCTCCAGAACACACCCCAAACCCAAAAAATTTATCCTGTAAGGAGTAGCAGGCATTTTCAGAAAGGTTTTTTTAGCCGGTCCTTAGGCCTGATTTCAGACAGGGACAGACGAGGTCTTGGAGCAAAGGCTGAAGATACTTGTCTCCCTCCCAAGGGTTCAGCCTGCCTCTCATTCGAGCTCAGCTTTGCTTCTGAGAAGAGCAAGTGTCCTCTAAGGTGCCACTTAGGAGACACTTGGGCTTTGCTCAGCCACCCCAGGAGTTAAAGGAGAGATGAGCATGGGTTCATCTCCCCCCTTTTCTCCAGTCTCGTTGCCGTGTACGGGAAGGTGGGCCGCTCTTTAGGCAAACGCTAAAAGCCCGGCCATAGGTGGTGAAGACAAACCATGCCATCGTCCTGCCTTGCCTCTTGGTTCTTGGCGTGCTTGTGTTCAGGCTTGGGGACCTGCAGCAGAGCCGCCTGTGCCACCATTGCTGCGAGGGGGCTAAAGCTTACTCCCAGCGCTTCTTGCTGTCCAGATGGCCTGCTAGCCCGGTGGCTGTTTCTGATGCACTGAGCTGTCTGGGCAGCTATCCCTGCCACTCAAGTATTCAGCCTTTAGAGAAAACAGTAAATACAGTTGTGGGGGGAAAGCTGTTGTTGCTGGCTCCTGACTACTACTATCTTAGCAGCATAGTACGCTGGCTTTGGTGCGTTACGTGGTGACAAAAAGAGGCCCTGTACTTTTTCTCCTCCAGCTGCTGCTTTTTCCTCTCTATTGCCATTTTCAGGTCTTACTGCTGAATCCAGCCCTTTGTGCTGTCTTTGACTCCAGCTTTTCCCTGCTCCCCGTGGGAAGGGCTAGCTGGAGTGCACTAACACACCCCGCAGCTTTGTTCCAGGTTTAATGAGGAAGGTAGCGGAGGCCTGTGAGATGTTGCTAGATGATCCCTCAAAGCCATTGCTCTCTCTTGGACACTTTGACATGAGCAGCTTAAGGCTACTGTTTGCATCGAGTTGTTCTAGGCCCAGTCTCTTGTAGGCACCTGTGTCCTGCCAAGTGAGTGCACTGTGCTCAGCAGAAAACGCTGTCAGCTGCTCTCCAGGTTCATTTCTTTGTGCTGTTCTTTGCTTTCCTCTTCGTTTGTAATCACTGGGGTGAAGAGGGAAAGACTAAACCAAACGAGGATATCCTGAAGGGGCAGACAGTCCAAGTGATTGGTCTTGATGAAACGGGCTTGCTCCCAGCATCTTTTCAAATGAGGGCTGCTGGGTTTCTGAGGCTGAGTGCTGCACAACACTCCCTTCCCTCTGCACGTAGCGCACGTGATGTCTACAAATCCTCCAAGAGCTGAATCCAGCCGTTGTTATCTGGAGTCCCGTGGCTGGAGGCTGCAGCTCTGGAGGTAACTGCACTCTTCAGTCAAGGCTTTGTTCCTTCGATGAATGCAAAACTGAGTACCAAGGCTGAGGAACGCAGCACACGGGACCTCTCTATTTGGCCACTGTTGGCACTGGGCTTGTTGCCACCTGTCAGTGGCTTGTCCTACCTGCATCTGGTAGGAAGGCTACCTGTCTGCGGGCTGCAATGCCAGTGTCTGACCTGGTGCAGGCCTTTTGTAAGCTAGGCGAGCACCCCTTCTGGCTTCATAACACTTTGAAGGAATAGGGAAGAAGCCGGGTCTTTTCCTTCCAGATGCATCAGTCCCTGGTCCTACCACTTCTTTCCTCTTCTACTGTAGGTGTGAGCTGGTCACTCCTTGCCCGCTCTCTGTAGCTATTCTGGCATATTATCTGCTGATTTTGCCACCCAGTCTCTTCTCACGATCCTCTGCTTCACAGTTCGCAGGTTGCCTCCAAGCAGCTTTTGAACAGGTTTTTGCTGTGAAGCAGGGAAGAAGGCCCTCCATCCTGGACTTGAAAGTTGAACAGCTACTCTGGAGTGGAACGGGGTGGTGGTGCAGGTCAGCTCACGTCAGCCCTGAGGCTGCTACTTCTGTGCAAGGAGCAGATTCTCACAGGAATTTGGTGTTTCATGGTGGCCAAGACTTCTGCCATGAAGTCCTACTTCAGTCAAGGGTTTTCTACAAGGTCCTTGCAGCAGTAGGTGCTTCCTACCTTCTGAGAGATGTTTCCCTGGCAGAGCTACCTGTGGTTCCTGCTGGAGACCCTGTCAGAGCTGGTTGTCAATTCTCCTCCCCAACCCTCATCTCACAGTCCCACAGCTCTGCCAGTTGTCTCCTCTTCAGCCTCCTTCTCTCTCAGCTGGACATTGGGCAGTGTCAGGACCTGCACTGAGGCCCCGGGCGTGACCACTACGTGTTTCTCCACGCTCTGCCCATCAGTGGTGTCACTGGAAGGCTGCTTCCCCTGGGGCTGCGCCCTGGCGGGAGGGAGCAAAGGTGGGGAGGTCTTCTGTGTGGGTGCTTCTAAGGCAAAAATGTCCTCTTCATCTCAGCAGCTTGGCATGCGTGCTCCCACTCTGCAGGCTTTTCTTGAAGAACTGCAGTTATTGGGAAGCAGTTACTCTCTCTGCCAGATCACAGGGAAAATATTATTTTTAAATTTATTTGGAATGAAAAATTATCTGACGGATCATCTGTATCTGTTCCTGAGAGCTGATTCATAATTATGTCTAGTTCCCCGAGCTTTTTGAGATATTTGCACTTCCACTTTGAAGTGTTTAGCGTGACAGGGTTTATTATTTACAGTTATTTGAAGGTGTTTCTTATTTCTGTCCT